ATCCAAAGACTCAGTGGGAAGAGGCAAGAAGATCTCTGAGTTTGAGGCCGGCCTAGTCTGCATAGTGAGTTTTAGGACAGCCAGGACTATCAGAGAAACCTTGTCTCAAAAAAACAAGCAACAATCTCAGCAGTGATAAAGGTCCTAAAACTTTAAGGCTCATAATATAATCTAAAATTTCAATAAGTCTGTCCCAATTAAAAGCTAAATATCAAGTAATGACACCAGATTATCTAATGCTTTTTTTTTCCTGAGGTAAGGTCTTATGTAGCTCTGGCCTCCATCTCCCCAGTGCTGGGATTACAGCCAGGTTGGCCCAGCAGTGTTAGGGATCCAACCCAGGTCTTCACATATGCTAGGTAAAAGGCTACCAAACACTTCTCCAGCCTAGATGTTTCAATAGCTCTTAAATATAGCAACACAAGAATTATGCTAACTAGACCGGTCAAAACATGATACTTATATATAGTATCAAAAGAAGAAAGATCAGCCGGGCGATCGTGGCACACGCCTTTAATCCCAGCACTCTGGAGGCAGAGGCAGGCGGATCTCTGTGAGTTCAAGACCAGCCTGGTCTACAGAGCTAGTTCCAGGACAGGCTCCAAAGCCACAGAGAAACCCTGTCTCGAAAAAAAAAAAAAATTATGCTAACTTCTGCAATTTAACATGATACATCACTAAGACTTAAATCTAAACAGATCACTCTGACCAGGTCATGTGACTAACACAAATGAATTCAGGCCTAGGTATGGAGGCACACATCCTTTAACCCCAGAACCAGGCAAGCTCAGTGAGACAGGTAGATACTTAAGAGTTCCAGGCTACCCAGGGTTACATGGTGAGCCCTTGCCTAAAACAAAAAGGAAAGAGAAGGAGAGAGAGAAGGGAGCGAGGGAGGGAGGAAGAAAAAACTGGCCGGGCGGTGGTGGCGCACGCGTTTAATCCCATCACTCAGGGAGGCAGAGGCAGGCGGATCTCTGTGAGTGAGACCAGCCTGGTCTACAAGAGCTAGTTCCAGGACAGGCTCCAAAACCACAGAGAAACCCTGTCTCGAAAAACCAAAAAAAAAAAAAACGTAAAAAGCAGATCAGCCACACACCTCCAACAGCAGCGATCACCAGCATGGCAATTCCCTTTCTTTTCCAGAGCTGTTGCCACAGACCTAGTAAATGTACCACTGAAATCAGTTCCCAACTTCCACCACGCCAAACTTCTGCTTTTATCTTTTCTTGCTTTTGCCCAGTAGTAGGTATGGAACCCAGGGCCCCAGCACGCTAAACACCACCTGATATCAATGAGCAATATCAGGCCCATATTTACTATCTATTTGGATTTTTGATACAGGGCTTTCCTGTGTAGTCCTGGCTCTCCTGGAACTCACTCTGTAGACCAAGATGGCATTGAATTCAGAGATCCACCTGCCTCTGCCTTCCAAGTGCTGGGATTGAAGGAGTGTACCAACATCACCTGGACTAATTTTTATTTTAAAGCAGGGTCTGCTAAAATCAAATTGACCTTGAGTCTAATCTGAACCCCAGCAGGTCCTCCTACTTTGCTCCTCAGAGGCCGAGCCCACCCATCTATTCCCCACCTCAGGCCTCAGGTGCTGACCCTGTGATGAACTTACTGTAGCAGGTAGTACACATAAAGAAAATGTTCCTTTAATAAATACCTAACATTTTCTGGTGCATTTGAAGAAATGGCAGGCAAGGTGGAAAAGTACAAGTTTCTTGTAAATAAAGCAATGTTCTTCCAAGAACATACATCAGAGCAAGCAATGTGAACACACTTGGAATCCCTGTACTTTCAGAAAGGGGCGTATGCAAGAAATACCCAAACATAAAGACCAGCCTCAGACACAGCACATGTGCTAGGCCTGGCTTAGCTAAGTACACTCAGCCTGCCAGAAATCCCATCTGTAAGTCACATACTCAACCACGGCTAAGAGCAGACCAGAAAATGGTGCAGGTCCCTGTAGCGTTCTCCATTCCTCCCAGGCTTTCTTTAGGTGTCCTTAACCTGGGTAAGTTTTAAAAGACTATCTAATTCTCTTAAAATTACAAAGTATCAAAGTAAGGTGTGCTACCATTTTTGTAAAGAATATATACACACCTGTTTAAAGGCAGAGAAACATATGTTTGGAAACATGTAAGAAAGTTAACATTATTTGGCTCCAGGGAAAACTAAGAGGGAGACAAAAGGGTTTCAATTCTATGCCCTATGAACCTTTCCAACTGTGAATCTAAGTTTGATTTTATTCAATGGGCCACCAGTTAAAGACTGATGAAACCCATCTTTCCCACTTCTCGTGAGGGCAGAGATCTGTCTTATTTTTCACTATTCCCGTTGCTTAACTTCCGCACTAAATTTCACACTTAAAAGACATTCACTCCAACTCCGTTCTATGTAAACTCATGGTTCTCTCACCTTTTCCCCATCCCTTACATGGTACCATCATCCTCCGTTTTAGCTCTAAAACCCAAGAGACACCTTATCTCCATCAACTTCACTCTTATCCAAACTATAACAACAAGTTCAACAAGTATCTTCAACACAGCTGGAAACCTTGTTACTTGTCTTTTAATGGTCCAAGGCCAAACTCTGACCCTGGGAGAGGCTTTTGACATCTACCCTCCAATCTAAAGACTATAAATCAGATATTACTCTTGACTTTCAAATTCCAAAATCTTTTTTTTTTTTTTTTTTTTTTTTTTTGAGACAGGGTTTCTCTGGAGCTTTGGAGCCTGTCCTGAAACTGGATTTGGTAGACCAGGCTGGCCCAGCTATCAATTCCAAAACCTAAAATGTTTTAAAAACCAAACCCTGATTAAAGGCCTTGGTGGTGCAAGCCTTTAATCTCAGCAGTTGGGTGGTAGAGAGCTAGTTCCAGGACAGGCCCCCAAGCTACAGAGAAACCCTGTTCCAAAAAACAACAACAAAACCAAACCCTGTGGGGGAGGGGGAGGGAAATTGGGAGAGGAGGAGGAAAATGGGAGGTGGTGGCGGGAAAGAGACAGAAATCTTTAATAAATAAAAAAAAAAAAGAAAAAGAAAAAAAAACCCTGGCCCCTGCCTATGGTTCAAGCACTCCCACTGGGTTTTCATTTCAGGGAGCTGCTTCTAGTAGGCTGGACTCTACTCTACTCCACCTCAGGGCTTTTCATTTGCATTTCTTTCAAAGACCTGTTCTTGCTGGCTTTTTAAAATATGTCAAAGGTCACCTCAGACAGGCCTTTCTCAACCACAGAATCTGAAACGACTTCTCCCAATCACTTCCACTCCTGTCCTCCAGAGCACTGTTATTCCAGCTCGTTCATCCCTGTCTCCCTCTCAGCAGAGCTCAGAGTCATAGCCCCAACTCCTGCAATACTGCTCAGAACAGGAACCAGCTCTTAAGGGAAAACTACATTTATTATTTATTTATTTATTTATTTATTTATTTATTTATTTATTTATTGGTTTGCCAAGGGGTTTTTCTGTATAGCTTTGGTTGTCCTGGAACTCACTCTGTAGACCAGGCTGGCCTCAAACTCAAAGAGATCAGCCTGCCTCTGCCTCCCAAGTGCTGGGATTAAAGGTGTGCACCACCACTGCCTGGCTAAGGACCATTATTTAACAAATGACTAACATCATAATCATAAAAGATTCCAGTGGGTCAATGAAAGTGGTTCAGTTGGTAAAGGCAGTTGGGGTGGAAGAGGCAGGTGAGGCCCCTCTGGTCTACACAGTGAGCCCCATAGAGCTGTCTCAAAAAACAAAGCAATCGCCCGGCTGTGGTGGTTGCACGCCTTTAATCCCAGCACTTGGGAGGCAGAGGCAGGCCGATCTCTTTGAGTTCGTGGCCAGCCTGATCTACAAGAGCTAGTTCCAGGACAGGCTCCAAAGCTACAGAGAAACCCTGGGGGGGGGGGCAAAGCAAGCAAGCAAGCAAAAAAATAACCACCCCCGCAAAAATAAACACACACACACACCAAACAGTCCCACTACTCATAAACGGGGAAGAGCAACTAAAAAAGAAAAAAATGTCCACTACTGGTCATTCATTTGTGACTTTTTGGCAAGGGACTCCAAATACTGTATAGGGGAAAAAAAGAACCAAATTTTAGCTCATTAGATCACTTTTATGTCATGGAATGACATAATATGAAAGAAGAGAATAAAATCTTTCATATTGTATATCAAGGTGGGTTTGAGGTAAGTTCTAGGTTTGGGAACTTTTCTATTGAAGTCAATAAAGAAACACACGCACGCTTTTTCCTTTTCTTTGCAGAAGGCGGTGCTGGAGTTGAACCTAAGGCTTCTTGCACAGTAGGCAAGTGTTGAAGCACTGAGCTACAGCTCCAACTTGGTAGTTTACATCTTCAAATTGAAACTTATAAGGTACTGCCATCCAACCAGTAACAGTAACCAAGGACGACAGGGGTAACTTATAACAGTAGAAATTCAAAGATGTACTACTTGCACACACGTAATGGTAGGAAAGGGTTCTAGACTCTAGTGTGTAAACAAGTGCTGGTGAGACTCAGAGGCTCTTATTTCACCACCCCAGAAGTGTTGAGGCAGGAGGTGCAGCATGCACGTAGAATACTCCTCCCCAAAACTACCAATCTTCACTGTCTGCGGAAACAAAAGTGAAAATACTCGGGGCTAGGATGTATGAGGCTGATGCCACCCCCTTCAACAGAGACTTTGGTCTCCGTGTGCGCACGTAAATAAGCCGGAGAGCACACGCTACCTTCCCTCCTTAGGAGAAAATGAGGCCGAGGGAGGGGCGGCCGGTAGCGGATCGGGGAGGCCTGGGATCCGGTCCGAGCTTAAGGGTCAGCAGTCTGGGGAGCCGAGGTCACTCACAGGACACCATCTTGCCAGGCCTACAGCCCGGTCTCCTCCGCCAGGTCGCCCCTAACTCCGTTCCTCCACCCCATCCCCGCCACCCATTCGCCGGGAAGGGAAGTTTCCCTGCGCCCATAGCCCGGCTCCCCAGCTTTCAGCAGGGTTACCTTCTGCGGAAGCAGGGCGAGGGCAGGGGCCCGGGGAGGGAGGCAACCTGCAGGCGTGAAGGACGAAGCCCCCGGCTCGGAGGGTGGGCGGCGGCGGCTGTCAGCTCGCGTTCCCCGGCTCACAGCGCTGCCATTACTGTGCGCCGAGGCCGCCTCCCCGGCCGGCCACCGCCACCGCCCGGGGGCCACGGGGGTGCCCGGAGCAAGGCGCCGCCACTCACCTGCTCCCGAGGGAGCCGTACCGACGAGGCCGCTGCCGCGGGGAGGGACGGGATCTGGGGAGGAGGACGGGCAGGTGGCGGGCTAGGGGAACCAGTCGTCCTCCAGGGCTCTGGGCTTTGCCTGACACACGCCCTCCGCTCTGCTCTCTCAGCCTCTTGCACTCACACACCCGCAGGATGCAATGGTCCAGTCCAGGTTACGGCAAGCGTAGGGAGCCACGCTTCAAGAATCGCGAATCTCTTGCAATCAATTGTCAAAGTAATTCATCAACCAGCACACTTGTCAATGAGGCAATCGCAGTTCCCTGAGCTCAAGCCGTACCTACCAAATTGGGGACTATTGATATCCAAATCACTGGAGTTGGGGGGAGGGGGGTCTGTTTTATTTATATGTGGTTTTGAGTTTTTGAGACTGGGTCAAGCTAGGTGACTCTTGCAGGCCTGGACTGCCTTTACAGGCTGAGCTGGCATTGAACTAGCACTCTTCCTGTCTCAGCCTCCCCATTAAGCCACCACTCTGGGCTCTTGTTGCTTTTTGTTTTGTTTTGTTTTTTTCTTTTTATTTTTTTGCTTTTTTTTTTTTTTTCGAGACAGGATTTCTCTGTGGTTTTGGAGCCTGTCCTAGAACTAGCTCTTGTAGACCAGGCTGGTCTCGAACTCACAGAGATCCGCCTGTCTCTGCCTCCCGAGTGCTGAGATTAAAGGCGTGCGCCACCACCACCCAGCTTTGTTTTGTTTTTCAAGACAGGGTTTCTCTTTATTTTTAGGAGCCTGTCCTGGAACTTGCTCTCTAGAGACCAGGCTGGCCTCGAACTCACCGCCTGGCCTTTTGTTTTTACCTTCAGACAAAATAATAATAATAATAATAATAATAATAATAATAATAATAATAATAATAATAATAATATCTCTTTAGAACAGTGATAGCTGAACTTCCCCCTTTGAAATACAAGGTGAGGCTGGGCCGGGTGGTGGTGGTGCACTCCTTCAAATCCCAACACTCAGGAGGCAGAGGTAGGCAGATCACTGTGGGTTTGAAGCCAGTTTTGTCTACAAGAGTTCCAGAACACGCTCCAAAGCTACAGAGAAACCCTGTCTCGAAAAACAAACAAACAAACAAAACAAAACAGAACAGAAAAGAAATACAAGGTTAAAAAAAAACCGAAATACAAGGTGGGGGCGGCAAGACTCGCCTGTGTTATTATTTAGTCATTTAGTTGCCTTTCCTATAGCAAAGGTGTCCTGGCTGGGGACGTGAAGGAGTCATCTCCAATTCTACCTATGAATGAATTTATCGCTCCCGAACTCTTCCAGTCTGTGCCAATCCTTTAAAATACAACCCAGGTAAAATGCTCTCACTTTGTAATCCCAGTATTTAGGAGGCTGAGACAGTAGGATAGGAAGTCCTGTCCCTCATTGTCCCCAGGCCCATCCCAGAGGCTGTGTGGCGAAACCATCTCAAAATAAAATCTTATTTCCAGATATGATAAAAAGATATGATACTAATCTCTCTTCTCATAGCGCTTGAATTTGTACCTTTATTTTCTCTTTCTTTCTTTCTTTCTTTCTTTCTTTCTTTCTTTCTTTCTTTCTTTCCTTCTTTCTTTCGAGATAAGCTCTGACACAACCCAGGCTGGCCTCAAACTCCCTGTGTAGCTGAGATGCTGAGACTTGTCCTTAATTCATGATCCTTTTATATCTATGTAAGTGATGGGATTATAACTACAGCAGCATACTCTGCCAGTCTCTCTCTTATGCAGGGATCCTCAGATTCCAATATCTGGACCTCTGGAAATTCCTAAAACGCTGGTTGTTTTATTCTGTTTACTCTTTTGGCTTTGTTGGGGGGGGGGGGTCTGCTACCCAGTTTCTAAATAAATCACACATGAAGTCTTATTCTTTCTTATAAATGATCGGCCTTAGCTTGCATTTTTTCCTGGTCAGCTTTTCTTAAATTATCCCACCTACCTTTTGGCTCTGGGCTTTTTGTTTATCTTATTTCTGTAATCTTACTTTCACTCTTACTCCACATCTGGCTGTCCCCTTTTTTCCTCACTCCTTGATCTCTCCTGTTCTATTTTTCTCCTCCTTTTTTCCCAAATTTCTTTTTCTATTGATTCTTTCTGTCTCCAGCCCCACCTATCCCTTCTCCTGCCTTGCTTTTGGTTTTTCAGCTTTTTATTAGACCATCAGGTGTTTTAGACAGGCAAAGTAACAGCTTCACAAAGTTAAACAAATGCAACGTAAAAGAATGCAACACATCTTTGCAACAAACTAATGTTCAACATCATAAACAAATGTAACACATCTTAAAATAATATTCTACATTCGCCTTTTTGCCTGAATAAAAATGAAAGATTTTAACTTTAACATAGTAAACATATACAACAAAAACAGTTATCAGGTAAGGAGAATTACATTTACAATATTCAGTCCATTTGTACTTAGCAAACTCAGAGAAAACACTCCACCATTCATCCCATGTCAGTTGACTCCAAAGTTTTATACCTAATTTACTTTCTATCAGAAGAAACACTGAAACTCTAATTATTTAGTCCTTAACTCCATCAAAGATGCAGAAGGATGTAATATTACCTAACAATAGAGACATCTTGCTGCCTGGACAGTCTATCCAAAGCTCCTCTGCAATGTTGGGGCATCCATCTTCAGGCTACATGCCTAGAACATATAGCAGACTTTTCAGTGAAGCAGGAAATTTGAGAAACTGTTCTGTCTTGTCTTGGCAAAGTTTGTCAGTTGCTTTCTTCTATGTCCTGCAGAATGTCTGGCAAATTCTTCTGTAAATCTGGAATTTTGAAGGACTGTCCTACCTTGTTTGGACAAACTTCAACAATTTTCCCCCGTGTGTTCTGTGTCCAGTCTGCACAGCACATTATCATCAGTCAGAGGAAAGAGCAGTTTCTTTGCCCAGTGGCTGAACTTTCCACAGTGAAAACAAACTCCATAAGTTGCTTCTTCAGTGCCCATCATCTCTGAAGTAAATTGTTACTGTCAGGAGCAGATGTGTCTCGTCATAAAACACATTATGTTCAAGAAACATTTTATTATTTTTTTTAATATTTATTTATTTATTATGTTATGTTATACAATATTCTGTCTGTGTGTATGCCTGCAGGCCAGAAGATGGCACCAGACCTCATTACAGATGGTTGTGAGCCACCATGTGGTTGCTGGAAATTGAACTCAGGACCTTTGGAAGAGCAGGCAACTGAGCCATCTCTCCAGCCCTCAAGAAACATTTTAAATGAGATATTCTATAGATCTTTGAAATGTTTGAAGAATATTTATCTATCTAAAATACACCGATTTAACCCAGAAAATGTACCTAATATGACTACCGGTTTGATTATTATAGATTAACTGCTGATCTCATTTCTTATTTATATATTGTATTTTTAAATGAACTGTGTAAGCACAATAGCCCAAACAAGAGTAGAAACATATATACAGTATAAGAAAAACAAAAAACTAAACCAGGTATTAGTGACACATGCCTTTAATCCCAGCACTTGGGAAGCAGAGGCCTGTGGATCTCTATGAGTTCAAGGTCAGCCTGGCCTATGAAGTGAGTTCCACAACAGCCAGAACTAAACAGTAAA